TCAGCTTTTGGTAGAGATGTGACGATACCAGAGATTTAATACCAACACTAGTGAAATTCCATGATTCTTGACACTGAATTTGATGCCACAGTACAACAATGTTGTACTGTGCTTCAACATACACAAGATGTAGCCATCAAGTAATTAATAAAAAGAAACTACTCAGTGTTTTTGTCTTTTCTGCTGCCTGTTTGCTTTCCACTCTTTAATTGATTGTTCCGTTTTAATATGGAACTTCCAATCAATTTGTCATGTTTTAAAGCCTTTCTTTGTAATCTTTGATGTGAAAACATCAGATTTTCCCTGAACCTCGACGTTCCCGTCTGGGTGGTGCAGCCCTTTCAGGCGGACATGGCCAAATCTGAGCCCATCATCCATCCATAGTACCTACAGTAGTGTATAGTAACAAGTATCGCCACATTTTCCGAACTTCGGTACAAATGGTCGGTTTTTGTCACATACCTAGATTCTGCTGATCAAAACCTGAAAATACAAACAGTTGTATGTTTCCTTCAAGTTGAAAGGTCAGTTAAGCTTAACTCTTTGTACCCTCACCAACCATGATAAAATAGCCATGAATCTGAGGGTTGGCAGGGTGGAGCCAGAAAGAAATTGTGGGTGTACATAAACTTACATAATGAATCAACAACCTCTTTGTTTTGATTGTAATGTATTGTAATAAAATGTAATAAGTTTTTTTGTTTTTGTTTTCTTTCAGCTTTGGCAGAAAAGTTTGCAGATGTTTTCTTCTTGGTGGACAGTGGCATAGCTCAAGGACAATTCGCTGATTTTAAGTCTGACCTTAACCAATTGATCACTGATCTGGATGTTGGATCGTCCACCAACCGTATCGGTTTGGCCCAGTATGGCCAACAAACCACTGTTGAATTCCTTCTCAATGCACATCCAAATAGACCGAAGACCCTGGCTGCTGTCAAACGTTTCCGCCTGCGCCCACAACCCAATCGGCCACGTAACCTGGGGGCTGCTCTGGCCTACGCCAAAGCTCAATTTTTCACCAGTGAGGCGGGAGGCCGGGCACACAAAGGCTACCGACAGTTCTTGGTCGTTGTGAGTGGAAAAGATTCAGATGATAGTGTGTTTAAGGAGGCTTATGCAATCAAATCAGAAGGGACAACGCTTGCTGCAATGAGCGCAGGTGCATCAATGGATTTTCTACGCTCATTTGCCAGTGTTGGGTACGCATATGATTCTCCCAGAGTAACTGTTTTAGAAGATAGCATCAAGACGGAGAAAATGGAGACCAATGTTACAGAAGGTGAGTAACATCCTTTGGGCACTTACTTACCTAACCAGTAGTTGTAGTTCTTGTTTTATCATTTTTCAGTTAGCAGTTAGACAGTTCTATGGAATACATTCTGACTTGAACTACATTTTAAAAAATATTATAGTATATTATATTGTTTAATGATGTTGAAAAAATGTTGACAGTCACAAGAAATAGCTCACACAGCAGATTTTAAAGACTGCATTACAGTATTCCAGTAATATATTTCATTTTCAAAATTATTTGAATGATTAAGTAGCAGATGGCTCAACAATGGAATAAATGAACACAAATATGTTAATATCCAGGGTGGTGATACATTTGTATTTGTTAAAGATACAGACAGTATGCAGAAGATGACAGACAGGATCTTTGACAGATTTCATTTTGATATGATGTATGATATGATATAATATGCAGATCCATAAACCTGCATACCATTGGATCTTTTCTGATACAGGTCCTTTTTGTCCAGTGCAAGTTAACTAATTACACTTCTTTCACAGATTGCAAAGGAGCCAAACTGGCAGACGTTGTGTTCATCGTTGATGAGTCGGGAAGCATTGGAACCAGCAACTTCCGGATGGTGCGCACTTTCCTGCACAGGATTGTGAGCAGCCTGGATGTCAGTCAGAAAGGAGTCCATGTGGGCGTTGTTACGTACAGTAGCATGCCCACAGCACACATCTACCTTAACACGTTCGATGACAAGAACGAAATCCTGCAGTTCCTGAATATCCTGCCTTACCAGGGAGGTGGGACAAACACTGGAGCTGCCCTAAACTTCACTCGGGAAGAAATCTTCACAGAGCAGAAAGGCCGCAGGAAGGGTGTCCAGCAGGTGGCAGTAGTGATCACCGATGGTGAATCCGATGATAATGTTACAGAAGCTGCAGCCATTCTCCGTCGGGATGGTGTTACACTTTACGCTGTAGGAATCGAAAATGCAAACAAGGCTGAACTAGAGAAGATGGTGTCCTACCCCTCCCATAAGCATGTTTAGTACCGTTTCAGCTTTCCAGAAGATCTGAAAAACATCACAGAGAACCTGCAGAAACCCTGTGCACTAACAGCATTGAAGAAGCACTAGATACAAGTAAAGAAGACGTCAAAGAAGGTTTGAACCACTGTTGTTTTTATTGTCATCAATTACGCAAATATTTCAAATATTTCAAATATTTCTAAGTTATATATATTTATATTATATACATATATGGTATATATAGTGCTGTAGGGATGTAAAACATTACTTGTTTCCTTCGTAGTCAGGTATCTGTCTTTAAGTTTAGCCTTTTTTGTTTTAATGTTAATTTTAAACCTTACTTTTTTTAACTGTGTGAAAAGAAGTAACTCTTTGTAGTCTTTCTCTCCAGCATGTGATCAGAAGGATGAAGCAGACTTCTTCTTTCTGATGGACGACTCAGGAAGCATTGAGAACCAAGACTTTGCTGACATGCAGACGTTCATCATTGAGTTTATTAGTACTTTCCGTATTGGGCCAGAACATATCCGCATGGGCCTTGTGAAATATGCTAAATTGCCAAAGAAGGAATTCGACCTGGAAACCTACTCAGATGCTGCTAAACTGAAGGAAGCTGTGAAGAGAATTGAACACGAAGGAGGTGGCACCATGACCGGAAAGGCGCTGTCATCCATGGCAAACCACTTTAAGGAAGCTCGTGATCGGAAAGTCCAAAAGTACCTGATTGTCATCACCGATGGGGAATCCCAAGATAAAGTCACAGCTCCTGCAGCTGATTTGAGGGATCAAGGTGTCATTATCTATGCTGTCGGAGTGAGTAAAGCAAAGGAGAAGGAGCTGCAAGAGATTGCCGGCGACCAAACAAGGACTTTCTTTGTTCAGAATTTTGATGCCCTGAAGTCCATCAAGAATGATATCTTCAGACACATCTGTTCTCCAGACAGTAAGGAATTAGACTGGACTTCTAACTCCATTTGCATTCCTCTTATTTAAAATCTTATGGCATAGTCACTACATGCATTAACTATGCATGCCACATATTGTTACTTTTCGGATGACTGAGATGATAACTGACATGCTATCAATTTGCCTCTGTATTCAGGATTTCGCAGGCTCTTTTTGGTATTGTTGTGGCCTGAAATACCTGATTTAACAGCAGGTTTTTAAAAAAAATCTAATTACCTAATTAGGATTATCCCTTTGGAGAATATTATCAGATTCGGAATAGCAGCGGAAAATGAGTGTGCATGTATACATACTTAGTATCCAATGACTAAGGGGTAAAACGGGAAAACCACGTTAACATTTCTGTCTTCTGTGTCCACAGTTTGCAAAGACATACTGGGTGACGTATTTTTCTTAACTGACAGCTCTGCGAGCATCAGTGACGAAGACTACCAGAAAATGAAAAACTTCATGAAATCTGTTATCAGCATGTCCGCCATTGGGCAAAATGAGGTGCATGTAGGTGTCATGCAGTTCAGCACCAACATCAAACTGGAGTTCCCCCTCAACCAATACTACAGCAAGGAAGAAATGTGGAAAGCCATTGATAACATGCAGCAAATGAATCAAAACACGCTCATAGGAAATGCCATTACTGAGGTGTCGGAGTATTTCAAGGAAACCAGCGGAGGGCGTTCTAACCTGAGGCAGTGGCTGATAGTAATAACAGACGGCGAGTCCCAAGATAGTGTTACAGGCCCTGCTGCGGCTCTGAGAGCTAAGGGAGTGTTGGTCTACGCCATTGGAGTGGGGAAAGCCATCACCTCCCAACTGGTGGAGATCACTGATTCCTCAGAGAGGGTTTTTACTGAGAGCAACTTTGATGGGTTGAAAGACTTGGAGAAGAAAGTGGCCTTGAAGCTCTGCGACCCAAGAAAGAGGTAAGAGCAGTTGAGAATAAAAAACAGTTATATATACAGTTATTTATATATACGTTCTGTATTCGATAACTGTGGACTATTGGGCTATTTTCTGTCGTAGGTAAAACATGTTTCAGCAATAACGCTGACAAAAATATAGAGAAGTATCTGGATGCAGTCGGTGGCCACAGTCAAAATCTCTTGAATCCAGTTGATTTAAACAAAATTTGGCTCAGTAATGTAAAAACAAATACAATCAGACCATCATTCCAATTATGAAAAAGCCGAAAACAATAACAGATAAAAACAAAACGTATCAAGTTTGAAGGACCTATTGGCCTCTTCATCTGACTGTACAGTTGGTTTCTGTTTACATCATTTAACCTTCACCACAAATGCTATGTAACTGGATAAATAGAAATGCACAGAAGACTTTTTGTGGCTTTAGCAGTTACCTCGCTGACCACTGGATGGATCAGTGACTAGCTTGCCAGCTAACAAGATCCAACATATAAATCAGTCTTTGCATTTACAGAGATATGTCTAGGACATGCTTAGTGGTTTAGTTGATGTTATCTTGTCATTTTTAATGACTGGGTTTTTTTCATGAGATGAATAACTAATCAGTTCTTTACTTTCCCTGCTAACCACTCTCTTCATATTTTTTCATTCAGAATGCAAGAAGACAGAAAAAGCAGACATTATTTTTCTGGTGGACGGGTCCCAAAGCATAGGTGAAACGAATTTCAAAAGCATGCAGACGTTTATGGAGTCAATAGTAAACCAAACCACAGTTGGCAAGGACCTGACTCGCTTTGGGGTCATTCGTTACTCCACCAGGGTCGAATCTGTTTTTACTCTAAAGGACCATGACTCCAAACAAAAAGTTCTTGCACAAATAAAAAAACTGATGCTACTAAACGAAGACACCTGGACTAGCAAAGCCTTGAATTACTCATTAGACTTCTTTAATGATCAGCATGGTGGCCGGAAAGCACTCAAGGTGCCTCAGATTCTCATGGTGATCACAGACGGGGATGCTACCGACCCATACCAACTGAAGCCTAATTCTGATGCACTGCGAAACAACGGGATCACTGTGATCAGTATTGGAGTGAAAAATGCAACAATTAAAGAATTGTTGACCATGGCTGGTGACGACCAATCTAAAGTTTTCTATGTGGACAATTTTAAGGCCCTAGAAACTCTGTACAAGAATATTTCTTCTATCCTCTGCAATTCCACTAAGCCAGGTAAGTGTGTGGGTGGTAGTGAAGTAGTGAAGTGAAGTACTATAGACATAATGTTATTCGGTAAAGAGATGTAGGACAAAGTAAAAAAGCTTAAACCAGTCCAAGACCAAAAACAAAACCAGTAATTCCAGCTGGTCCATATACGGGCCAGTTACAGATGGAAAGAAGGCAGATATAAAATGTTGTCAGTTGGAAGAAATTCATATTTCTTTCTAGGTATAGTGAACTACTAAACTTAAAGTAATTTCTTGAAACAAACCAGTGCATTATGGGAAAAACAGGCCCTTTTTGCATGGCAGGACTTGATACAACATAGAAATGTGTAAACAGCATTTGTTAATCAGGTGTTGGTAGAGCAGAATTTTGCACCTGTCACACTTGTGCGTCCGACTTGATTAAAGTCCTGGTGAAACAGAAATTAGATTGCTAACATTTACGTAAGTACGGAGGGGCTTTTTGTGGTAGCCAAAAGCGCTGTGTGTTACTTCCCCCCAGTCCAGCAGCTGTAGCAGACCCACTAGGTTTCTCCGCTGGGGGTTTGAGTGATGTGGCCAAATATATTATGCTATACAGTCATAATTTCATGTTTAGTAGTAATGTTGACAATTGTCTTTTTCTTGCTTTGCTTTGGCAGTATGTGAGAAAGACAAGGCCGACATGGTTTTTCTGCTTGATTATTCTAGCAGCATCAATCAATTATCCATCTACAATCACGAGATCATGAAAAACTTCACCACAGATGTAGTGAACAGCTTTGACGTCAGTAAAGAGTATGTGCATGTTGGAGTTGCACAGTTCAGCGATAATACTCGGAGAGAGTTTTACCTCAACAAGTACTTCACTAGGGAGGATGTGAGCGCACACATCAAGACTTTGACATACAAAGGTGGAAACACTTACATCGGACAAGCCTTGAATGACATTAAAGAGTACTTTTATACATCAAACGGCGGCCGTAGTGGAATCTCCAAGAATCTGATATTGATCACAGATGGTGATTCTCACGATGATGTGGAGGACGAAGGTAAATATATCAGGGATCTGGGAGTTGAGGTGTTTGCCATTGGCGTTGGAGACGTCCATGACCTGGAGCTCTTGCAGATTACTGGCACCCCTGAGAGGCTGTTCAAGTGCGAAACTTCAACGGAGTTGGCAAATATCAAAGAAAAAGTTAGTCGACACCATGGTGCAAATTTCCACAGAACCTCAATTTTCCCAGTGAGTTGAAAATTGCCTTGTGTCTGTCTTTCCTTCTTTCACACCACAATCTTATGTCTATGAATGCAAAAAGTAAGACTTATTTCCCTTTGCTCCAGCCTGCAGCATTGATATTGCCATAGGATTTGATTTTTCCCAAAGAACCAGAGCTAGTGAGATGCTGATGCGCATCAGCAACCTCCAGACCTTCCTGCCAGACATTGTCCATTCCATTTCGGAAGTAAAAGGCCTGTGCTGCCTCTTGGCAAGTAACGGAAAAGATTTCCTTTCTGTCGGGACCAACATCTCCTTCCATGTAGTAGATGATGGAGGACGTATATTGTATGATACAGACTTTGAACCCTACAACGAGGCAGTCGTGCAAAAAGTCCTGACACTACGGATTTCAGAATCTACAGCCTTTAACACTGCCCTGCTGAACTCCTTCAAGGAGAGGTTCAAGACTAAATCTGGAGCTGGTGTAAAGGTGAGAGCTTCCATTTATCAATCATGAAATTATCTTATGTTGTGTTCCCACCACAAGTAAAGTGAATATTCGCCTTGCGTAACTCTTTAATCTGGTTTATAAAGGTGGTATGAGCCTAACATAAACAGATTTTGCAGTGATTTAATGTCAATAAACGGATCAAAAAGAAGCAGAAATAACTACATCATGATGGTGATTCATAATTTGTCGGGTCTGTCTGCGAGACGACGAGCAAACAACTTTTAAAAGGCTTGTTTTCTGAATGGAGTTTGATGGATCCTGGATAGCTAACTTAGTTCATAGTAAAATAAAACTAACAGCTGGAATCAAGTAACAGACACATATACTCACCAATTTCCTCTCTTACTTTTCTCAGAACAATCTGATTTTCTGTCTGCTCTCTGTATAAGTGAAGTAGTATCATAGAGCTCTTTTTTTTCCTAAAAGTTTAATAGATTAACTCAGAGCTCTTGCCAGCTAACGTCTCCAGATCAGAGCAGGATCCGGTGTGACTCTGGGTGTTTATTCCTCCAGAGCTCCCCGGGCTTCAGCAGCTGTCTGTGGGCAGCAGCAGCTCTGTCTCTTGGCGACAGCATGCTAAAGGCGACGGCGACAGTACTGGTTTTGACGTTTCTTGCACAACGCCGTCGTATGAGTTGGAAAAAGGGCAGTTGTTGTCACGTAAGCCGTGTCATGTTGCACAGACATTTTATTACATGTTGGTGTCTGTTATGTGTTGCTGTTAAGTAGTTAAAGAAAGAGTTGCAAAAAAAGGCAATAAAGTTATGTTTCATTATCCTTTGATAATTATAAACGTGATAAACCAAAATTAATTGATTAACTGATACAGTTTAACTAATGTAACACCCTACAAAATTAAGGGTTGCCTACACCGGGGATCCAATAAAGATCGATCTTGTTTAAATGTCTTCCCAGTGTTTCCCAACCTGGGGTCTGGACCCCCACTATGTCAACGAAGGAGCTTCATGGGAGGATCGCACAGTCTTCTGGATGCTAAGGTCAAAAATATATCTCAGCATTTCAAAACACTGAATTTGTCATATGTTTGTTTATTGTATAAGATAACATCAGGACGATAATTGTGTAAAAAAGTTCCTAAAAATATAAGGTAACTAATCTTTGGCTTCAATATTCAATCCAACCAAACTCGTTTACACACAATTTAATGCGGTTATATATTCACTGTTCAAGTGTTCCTCTACTGGTGTATGCGTTATGTATTATAAAAATATCTATAAAATATGTCACTTTTGTATCAATTTAGGTTACATGATAAAAAAAGGCTTTTTGGCAACCACCATCTTACCTTATGGTATAGTCTTTACGTGATCTTTTCCTGGAGTGTTACTAGTTGTTTGTACAAGTTGTACTATTTTTGATCATTTTTGGAATATGTCAAACATTATAATACAAAGAACACACCTCAGAAGGAAAAACATATTCGTAAAAGTATTCCATAAAAACCAACAGTGACGCCAGACAATAGGTTCACATTTCAATCCAACAGTTGGCCGAACTCATGCATTGATCAGCCTACAAGCAGGAGTTGTTTGGAAGAGCGGATCAAGGAGGAAGTCCGATGAAGCCAGGAGCGACGCTAGACGACAGACTTTTCACCCCTGATTTCCAGCGACGTAGAACAGGAGAAACATTTACGAGTTAGTTTCCCCAAAGAGGGCTGAAGGCCTTTGTTCTGGTGACGTAAATAAAGCTTTCACAGATTTGTTGTGAGGGATGACGTTGCGATGCTGCTGCCGACTTGATGGGGACTGGTTAGCCGAGTAATCCTCTGCCGAAACTCCACCAATCTTGCGGCAGCTCGGCGGCCGTTCCCGTTTCCTCCAGAGCACCGTCAAGCCAGGAGCCGCTGACCGCCTGCCAGACAAAAAGCAACCACAGATGCCACGGTTACAAGTTTGTTAAGAGTGTGTAGGTTTTGCTTGCATCTAGTGGGTCATTTTCAGATTGCAACTAATCCTGAAACACCGTTGCGTTTGGGTGTTTTGGGCTCCAATAAAAGAAATTAATTATAGGAGTTTAATTAATATGGTTTAGAACAGTAGAAACAACGCTTGGCTATTGTTTTTTTTTTTGACCAGACTGTCGCCAGAAGCTCTGATTCATTTTCCAGGAGTTTCATCACGTCTGCGGTCGAGTTCCGTGCCGAGAAGATCAACGTCAGCCTGGATGGACATAGTTCACATGTTAGACACACTATTTATCAGGACTGCCTTGGTTGTCCGGATTTTGCATGGGACTAGTAGAAATGTGTTATAGTCATTCCACCATTAAATGATCTTGATAATCCAGAAATCTGATAAGATTGCCATTAAGATTAGAAGTCGGGCAGGGGGTTGGACTCTACCCAGGCGCGTGAGCGTTAGGGCCGGCCATACGAAATATTTTCGTCTATCTAGGTATGAGTATATTAATCTAAGTAAATGTATTTCCCTAAGATCTAACCCTGTCCATGTGTGTTCCCAAAAGATGAATACTTATATACTGCAGATAATGTTGGCTTCTACGAAACCCCGTGGGGATGTTGGATCTTAAAGTTATCGGAGACAACAAAGTGAGCTAACGTTTAGCAGCAACTCGGGCTCGCAGCCCCCTCCGGGACGTCCTTGGTCTGTCCAACAGGCGTTGGGAGAAGCAGTGATTTTTAAGGTGGAACTGCCTTTATTCAGTGCTTTTTACGTGGTTTTAATTCAAGCGGGTCTGTTTGGTTTTGGGAGAGGGAGGGACCTCTGGTGGGATAATTGGCTCCCGCGTAGAAACCTCCTGAACCATGAACACTGAAGGAAATCCTACCAGGAGATGCTGGACTGTATGATGGCAATGGTGTGGAAAAGACAACAACTCCCATGATGCCAAGGCTGAGCGTTTCAACGATCAGCAAAATATTCTTCCTAACAGCAGACAATAACATATTGTCATTTAGCAATAGTTGCATA